TGGTGTCGTCTGCAAACTTACTGAGGGCGCACTCAATCCCCCCATCCACTTAAACCTGTGCAGATCCATTGGAAGTCAAGTATTGTACAGGTCTATTTGAAAGCACAGATTTCCCTGCTATTCTATTCCAACTGTTGAAAATTCAAGCAAAGGAGAGGGATGTGCATTAGACTTTATAGCCTGTGCAAGTTTTCAGGGCTGGCAATCAATGCAAAAAACTTCAGTTTTATTGTAAATTAAATAGCCTGGAATATTACCAGAAACCAATAATGGGTGATCCACATTCACTGTTTTAAGAGACTAAAACTCTTTTTCCCTACATTGAGGTTGGGTAAGGCACTGCTCTGTTTCTGGAGATCAGCTCTGTTATAAATAAAATTTTACATGATTAAATGGATGTCTTATCTGTCTTTGGTACTTGCTTGTAACTTGTCAATTACGAATATCTGCTTTCTGAATAACAGTGGGCAAAATATATTAATTCATGAATTAGGGAATCTAAATCTGTATGTCTATTTTTGTTACACCTAGCATAATACTGAAGATATTTGAATCATTATGTATGTATCTCAAACTAAATTTTTTACCAGGAGAACAATGAAACTGGCTTGGAGAATGTAATTGATAAAGTGGCTACATTTAAGTAAGTTCTTGATATCGTTTTGTAAGTATCTTGAATGTGAAATAAGATCTCTTAGATTGTTTGGGTTAAACAAGTGGTACTGCACAGTCTCTGTTCAGGGAGTATTTTGCTGTCTTGAAATAGATATGCTTTCAAATATGCATAGGATAGAAAAGTGTATGGAGTGTCTGAAGCTGCTGCTTCTCTCCTTTTGCCCACCTCGTTCTTCATATTCAGTTTGAGGAGTCTCAGGAGTTTAGTAATCTCAAGTCCTAGCAGGAAAATCTTCAAAATTCATTTTATTTCAAAGGTGGTTGGGAACTGTAACAACTCATTGTACCTATGGCAACCACCACCTCATCATTGGTTTAGATGTTATTTAGTTGCTAACTTGCTGTAACTTTCAGATGGGAGTTAATTTTTTTTAACTTATATATGCAAATATATAACAATTAGTTGTAGCAGTTGAGGAAAAACTAGTTCAAATGTCTGCTATTTTTGTCACAAAAATGTCATGTAATTTTAATTATTTTAGTATACCTTATTTTAAGTTTCATGTAGTTCACTTGTTTATGTTTAATCAAGGGCACCTGTAGGTGTACCTAGTAATTTTGCTTTGGGAATTATACGGAAGGTTCAAAAAATCCCACTGGCTGGAAAGTAGCTGTTTCTATTACTTGTTTCGTACCTTGGTTAATGGAAGTAATGAATTTTGTACAATAACATCCAATGTCTGAAATTCTAAGCCATAAAGTTAAAAAGAATTTACCTGTAAGAGGCTATATGTACTGTAGATGGTATAGACTAGAAATATTTTGCTGCTGGGTAGGATTTCCAGTAGTAAACAATCTTGAAAATTAAAGACTGATAACTGTACTCACTCTATGCTTTTTATAAGTTAATGAAGCAGCCATCACTATTCCACTTCTTATCAGCTTTTCCTTAGAAAATGTTACTGGTTTGTTTACATTCAAAGATGTGCTGAACATACATTATTAATCTGTATGTCATTAAATATTTCTCTGTAAGGAAACCGGGTGTGTCTGGCCATGGAGTTTATGAACTGAAAGATGAATGCTTGAAGGAGTTCAATATGTTCTTTTACCACTACACTAAGACCCAGCACAGCAAGGTAAGCAGTGTAAGATTCATTCTCAAATGTTAAAAAATAGTACATACTTATCAATGTCTAAATAATTTTGCTGGATCAAAGGGATTAATGGAATATAAAGAAACTGATTCAGTAAAGAGTATATGCAGCTAACTTAAAAATTGAATTTCTAATGAAAATAAGATTGTTAGTACAAATTGACATGGTATGGTTTGCATTAATGTTTTCCCTATGGTGACTTCTGTATTAACTCTGTTTATGCCAAGAACAAAATATGGTAAGAATTACCTTTGAACTGGAAAACCCCAAACTTTGCTTTTATAACTGTTATTGAGGAAGCAAGTATGTCCAATTCTTTATCTTTACTACAAATGGAAATGCAAAATGCAATATTGTTAAACAGATTTCAGAAAAGATTCTAGTTACATGACCAAGTATTGACTATGCATCTTGCCACCCTTCTACTTTAGGGTTTCTCATTGTTTCGTTGTGTACTTCTGTAGAGGTGCTGGTATAACAAAACTACTTTTTCTGTAGGCTGAACATACACAAAAGAAAAGAAGGAAACAAGAAAACAGAGATGAAGGTAAAAATTTGAAACTGATGACTCAACAAATGTGATAATTCAGTAGTGTATGTAGTTGTGCATATAAAATGAGCTTTGGGAGATATCTTGTGACTTAATCATGGATAGTTGAGTTCATATTAAATTTGTTGTGATTTGTGGTAGTTGTAATTAATTAGCACCTGACATTTCTTTTATCTTTTTTCCTTTTCTTAACATGAAGATAGGAGTTTTGGAATTTTTAGTTTAATTCCCATATAGACAAATAAACATGACATAGTGCCCATTGACAAAATGAACAACTTAAGAGTTTTTATGGTGGAGTAACTATGAGGCAAAAGTTTAGTTTTTGTGAGTAGATTCTCTAGCACAATATTGAGAAATAATAACATCATGTAGAGAAGGTTGCCACAGGAAATAGTGCTCATATCCATTCTGTAAGTAGTGTGAGACTTAAGTTTCATAAATAAAAATTTTCTTTCTTAGAAGCTGCAAATACATATAACAATAAACCCCCATGTTTCTATTGTAACACAAATGTTATTTCCCTTTGGAGTTTACCCATTCAAGTCACGAGCATTAATTGAGTTGATTTGTGGAAGACTTTGTAAGCTGAATAAGTACAATGAACAATTTAATAAAATCAACTATCGCCTGCTTTTGTGAGTTGCAACAGATAGAATTATTTTTCTTATCCCAGATTGCCCTTCTAGTTGAATACCTTAATCTTTACTTCCTACTCTAAAGCGTATTTTGATTTTTGTGTGCAATCAGGGCACTACAGCATTTCATACCGAAGATAGTGAAATTCATTCTGAGTAGATTTTATTTGCTTTGGGTTCCTTTCAGTTGAAAAACTGTGGACCTGAAAAAGAATAAATTGGCATTGTCATTTAGGAGGGACACAGTTAAATTGGAAGTCACATTCTCTTTGCAAAAAATGTCATTTTCTGTAGTTGTAAGTAACTTAGAAGACTATGACAGCTGGAAAATGAGGAACAAACAAATCTTTGGATTACTTTCGGTTTCTTCCTCCACTATTTATTTTATACTGTTGACAGATTTTTCAATAGTACCTTCTTAATATTTTTTCCCCTGTTCATTTTAGCAATTTGAAATGTTAGGAGGGATGTTTATTGTGTAGGACTTCTAAAAAATGCAAATGTTCAGATGTAGTTGTCAGAAACTTACATTCATGTAATCAGACAATACAGTTCCAAAATACAAAGGTAACTGTTTACGTTGATGTGTATTCCCCTGAGGCTACCCATTTTGTTGCAGATACTTCGTGCATATGCTTTTATGTGGCTGTGTTGTCTTTGTCAGTAACTTTTTATAATTCATTCAGTCTAAACTGTCAAAAGATTGATGGTTTCAGAGACACTGCATTCATAGAAGTCTTCTGAAAATAGGCATCCAGGTACCAAAAGAAGACTTAAGTCAATGCTTCCAGGTAGGGAATGGCTGTGGCATTAATTGAGCTGCTGTTAGCAGATGCCAAGATTCCAGGTGGCTTCTGTGTGAAACACCACGTCACACAGTTTCAGTATTAGCTCAGAAAACCTACATAGCTAGAAATGATCTGAATGCCCCAGTAGCAGGAAGAACTTAGGGCTCCAGCCATATTAGGCATAGGACACTAATGTGAGACACCACACTCTGGAAAGACCCACTGCTCACTCTTGTTTAACTACTTGAAAACTTTATATCCGATGCAAAACAGAAACACTGTATGTTTATTAGTGATACATAAATGATAAGGCAGTGCATGGTATTAAAGATTTGCATTTACAGTACAACTAAGTACTCGGGATTGATTGTTTAGCTTAGTTTGCATGTCTTTTATGTAAGAACTTACTAAAAGTACTTAGTTTTGCTAAATATAAAAGCTGACTTAAGTGAACAATTGTGTTTGAGTGTAGTTTTATTAATTTAAAGGTCCAGTTGTTCTTTCACTGGAATTAGTATGTTTGTGCTCTCTACTTTTTGCCTGCAATCTTTGAGATGCCAGTTTGTTAATATATTTGCGCATCTCTATTTTCTAGCATTGCCACCACCACCTCCTCCAGACTTCAGTCCTGCATTCAGCAATGTGGTGAGGATTCTGAACTGTGATGTTATGATGCACATACTGCGGACCATTCTTCAGAGAGCAGTAGAACTGGAAACCCACTTGTGGACTGAAGCTATGATCCAAATGGTATGGTTAGCTGTGGCCTTCTTCCTGTGGTCTTACCTGTGTTGACCATGTTAACTGCTTATGATAAGATCAAAATGTATAAAGATAAACTTTAACTTTGAATAATAAGAATTTACTTTTTGTCCCCAAACCTGTTTTTATAAATCTTACTGACAAAGAAAATACTTCTATTTTACAGTGGATGTAAATAATAAGAAATGTGAAACACAGTAGTATTAAATTGGGAATATTCTTCAGTTTTCTATTTTGCTTTCCTTCCTGTATTGACTCATCACTGAAGCTGTTTCAATATGTAATTCTCCTTACCTCAACTTTTTCTTGAAACTTCATGTTCAAATAAGTAACCCTTTGATCATCTTAAAGAAACTGGAATTGCTTTATCCTGTAAGCTGCAAAGTCACCCAATATCTAAATGTATTTGGGGCCTCAGTCATGAAATAATATTATTTTGTAAGTATTTAAACATTTCATTTTACCACAGTAACTTTATGCTTTAAAAAAAGGGACTTACTGACATTGTTGAAGGTCTGGGTGTTCCGGACAAAGCCAAACTGAAGACCACAGAAATTTTTTTTTTTTTTTTTTTTTTTTTTTAAAAGGATCAGGACCTGAATTTACAGACTGGTTGAATTATCAGTTTTGTTACTTAGAGTGCATAGATTATTTAATTGCCTTGCATTACCTGTTAATCTTTGGATTATGGAATTAACCAAATATTTGTAGATTTGTATCAGAAAAATTACAAGATTCATATGTTATGTAAAGTGTGTGCGAGTTTATTAATTTAGTGCAAGTAATATGCAGGAAAATTTTGTGCATTGTTATTTCACTTTCCATGCACCACTTCTCATTTCTGTGTTTTATCATGGATATAATCAGCATATAGTAGAGAACAATATTACACATACTTATTTTATATGCCAGTTTTCCAGACCTCTAACAGCGGATGAGATTTACTATTTTTCTCTTTTTTTTTTTTCTTTTTAGGTGCTTCATCTCCTTTCTTTAGGGTTACTAGAAGAGAAGCAGCAATTACAGAAGTCTCCAGAAGAAGAAGTAACCTTTGACTTTTATCACAAAGCAACACGTATGTTTCATTTTCTTTAAAAGGGCAGAATAAATTAGGCTAACTTGATTTTGTAAGGACAAAAATAAACTAGAGGAAAGTATTCAGTGATTTTAGTCAGAAAGAATTTACTTTTTGCTATAGAATTTAAAACTTTTTTTTTTTTTAAATAATTAAGAAACCAGGTTTGGACTAGCTTCCTTTGTTCCAGTTGCCTGATATGTTGAAGAGGAGATGTGGGATAGAAATGGAAATGTAATACTGGTGTTAGATAACTGAAAATGGCTATTCCTTTGCAAGAACATTATTGAAATAGAAACTAAAAACTCCTTGAAAAATGACAGTGGATTTAAATGAACTGTCTCTATCTTTTGTACTCCTGAGCTGTACAATTATTGATTTACCTGAAAGATAAAGCCTTTTACTATGGTAGTGATGAGAGAATTAAAACTTAGTGGCTATGAAGTGCGCTATTTTCTTTTTCTCTACTTCTCCAAATCCCTACAGAGCACTGCCTAATCTTACATTCAAGACTAGTGAGTGGGAGTTGGAATCTACATTTTCTAAATAATCTTCTGTCTTACCTAGAGTTTCTGCTTCACTGTGTAGGAATAAATAAATAAAAAAAAAATCCATTATCAAGATAACATAGTTGTCACTTGAGAGATAAGAATTGTGAAGTAAAAGCATAGAATCATAGAATCATTTAGGTTGGAAAAGACCTTTAAGATCATAGAGTCCAACCGTTAACCTAGCACTGCCAAGACCACCACTAAACCATGTCCCTAAGCACCACATCTACAGGACTTTTAAATACCTCCTGCATAAATAAATAAATACATAAACTGCTGAACTGCCTTTATTTAGTTTTTCAAATATGTTGTATAAAGAAGTGTCATTGAGTTTGAAAAACACTCCCATTTAACATTTTTTCAATTTTTTCTTACTGTTGAACAAGAAGTATTATCATCACACTGAAGGTATTTCTGTTTAAGAAGTTTTATGTCAACTATAGGAATACACTAAAAGTAATTACAGTTGAGACATTGGAGAATTCTTTGCCAACTTTAGTTTTGCATAACCAGAAAAACCAAAGCCCCATTTATACAAAAGGGAAGCAAAAATAATCAGTATTTTTGTAAGAAAACTCTTATTGAGAAGTGATTTTTTTTTTTAATTTTCCTAATGTATTTGTCTCACTTCTAAAAATGTGCAAATTAATTTCAAATGGAAAGTACTGTGAAAGAAATATAATTGAAGAGAATGGTCTCAATTTTAAAGCATGCTTGTGTTAGAGAATGGCCTAAATGTTACAAACTGTTACCAAGGTGTGAGGAAGCACATAACTGCTGTAATTATAATAGTTTTTGTGATAGAAATAAACTTGTGCACACTGAGCTGTTAGCAAACTTATGTAAGCTATAAGAGCTTTCCGCTTCTCCTTGAAGTGAAAGACAATTCTGATTTTGTCTGTACTTCTGCTCTTGGAAGTAGCAAAAATGATTGATCTACAAGGGGGAAAGATTATACTATATTTAACTGGAATGAAAACATTTAACAGATGAAATGAAAACAGAAATGTAACTCCACAGATTGTGCCCATGTATGTGTTATATAATTAGCAATATTTTAAGGCATGTCAGTGGTTGTAAATACATTAAAATGTTGAGGGTTTTTTTTTTTTTCCCCCCTGAAGATCCATGCTTTCCTGTTTTTTCTCTCCTTTGTAAAGGAATGGGAAGCTCGGCCTTGAATGCTGTGAACGTGTTAATGCTTCTGGAAAAATTAAAGAGAGTTCCTCAGTTAGAGGCACAGAAGGACACAGTCAATTGGATACTACAGGTATACAAGGGGGAGATAAGTATGATCTGGTTTTAGTTATTTAGCAAGCTTTTATGAAGGATATTAAGATTCCTGCATATAACCCAGCATTTACAGCTGTGCAGTGATTTCTTGAGAAGCTTAATCTGTTGGAACATTCCCCCCGCCCCAGATGAGATGGTTTCTTGAATACGGTGTTAACACGTACAAGTCATTGTATTTGCTATTGCTGCTTTCAAGTGTTGGGTCAATTTTTGCTTAGATAACTTATTTCTGTAATGACATTTTTATACATAAACTTTATTTCTCATATTTCTGTTGCAAAATAACAGCAAGTGATAAGTAAAAGTTTATTAATTGGGAAAGCATTTTAGAGGCTGCTTGTATTAAGACTTGAGTCACAGGGATCTGACTAATGGCCACATCGTATATTTGACCTGTGGAACTTTTCCGTCCAACTCCCTGCCATTACCCAGTAAGAGATGGGAAAAGCTTCTAGAGCTGTGACACCTCTCTAATGTAGGAGGCTCCTGCTTCTGCTTAGCCGGAGTACTACTGTCCTGTTCCATTTTGGGCTTCTTGTTTTAGGGGCTAAACATAGAAGACAGTGCTTCTGGAAAAGAGGGTAAGAATCTATAGTTGGGTTCCAAAATCTATCCTCAGCTACTAAAATTGGACTATCCTGGTACATTAGGGAGGCAGGTTTGAAAGATTTGTTTTTTGAGAAGTTATTCTAAAATTCTAAGGGCAAAGTAAAAATGTACTTTTAAAAGTATATTTAACTTTTTAATGATACGTATAGCAAATGTAGAATATTTAAAATTATCAAAACTTCAAGATGCTTATTAAAGTAAAGATAGCTGAGAAAGTGGTAAATGAAAATTGAAGGCTCAGTTTTAATTAACTGGGCATATGCTGGAAAGCTTTCTGTCCCAGATGTATAGGTTTTTGCATGATTTTAATGACTATTTCCATGGGGTGATAAACATCTCGCCTACTTGAAATAAGCTAGCAGTCTCTATCCATTCTTCTGATGTACAAATGCTTTAGCTGCTTAGCAGTATTAGTGCTAGAAGACTGGAAAATCTGGAAGAATTTTACTTTCTGTCATCCTGAGCAGGGCTCGTCAGGTTTAGGATCCAGACGCAGCAGTGTTACAGGAGTGCACGTATGGTCTCAGTTAGATGTTTTTGTTATTCAAAAGTATGGTAGTCGGTTTCATCCATTTGAAAATCTGAAAATAATGTGAAACTAAACATCAAGAGCTTTAATCCTGTCTATATTGTAATAAGAACCAAGTTGCATTTTATTTTTAACATCTAAGTCTCTATTCCTAGATGTTTGACACAGTGAAAAGATTGAGAGAAAAATCTAGTTTGGCAACAGTAGCAGCTACATCAGGCTCAGAAGCTACAAAAGTTGATGAGGTAATAATAAAAAAAAAGTTCAATGGAAACCTTGTATTTAATGTTTTGAATGGCTGTTTTCAAAAAGGTGCCTAAATTTATTGTTGCCTAAAGTGATAATTTAAAAAAATATTACTTTCTGATGTATTGTCTACAAATAGGATTTAGGTCTCAAGATTAGTATTTTTAATAAATGAAATTTATGCTAAGCATGTTTCCTGGAGTTCTCGGCAGCTAATGTGGTTTTGGTTGTACTTCCAAGTTAAGTGAAACAACTGAGAGGGGAGAAGTAGTAATTTGTGTTCATTTCTCCATTTCTTATCTTTATGATTTGACCACCTTTTCTATTGTGTTGTCATTGTGCAATAATTAGAAATACAGATCCACTTAAAATGATGACTTGTAATTTATGTGACCTACCAAGAGGTTAATCTGCTTTACCTTGATTGTATAAAGACATCAGGCTTAGGTCATTATTCTGTCAGTGTATCAGTCTCTATCCCCTTCCCTCAAAATAAGTTTTGAATCCAGTGGACCCAGTGAAATGGAGATTTCAAAGATTACTGCAACCCCATGAGGGGCGATTTTGTTTGTTGGTTTGGTTTTTTTTTTTTTTAAATTGGCAGTTGAATAGAAAAGAAGAACCTGATTACCCTTAGCAAGCAAAGACAGGCTGGTTTGCTCTTACACATTCTGTTTGGCAATAGCTTGCTGCCAAACAATCTCTTGGCTAGTCATTGCATGCATAGCTTTAAACTTATCACAGCATATGCTGTGTTTCTTTTTTTGAGAAAGATGTCATGGTATCTGGTAAAGTAAGGGAACAAAATACGAAAGTCAGTAAGAAATGAGACTTACAATTCCACTACTTGTGGAGCAACTTGTTGTTGTTTCACTTCCTCAAAAAGTAATGGTACCATGAATGGAAGCAATGTGCATTATGTTGAATTTGTGCCTTAAGTAATTGAATAAGACCAATTAGGTTCTGTATGTTTTAATTAAGTCTACCTGTGTTTTTTGAATTCTATATTTCCAAAGCATATACGTACTTTGTTTATAGTTTTTGAAAACATGATAAATGAGGAAATACTGGAAGAAGAATAGTTTTCCAGTCTACAATAAAGAAGAACAGGGGAAAATACAATCCTCAGATGCATAAAATGCTGCCACAAAAATGTAGGAACAATCTGTTTGCTATGTCATCCATAGATCAAAATAAAATTTTCTTAAATTCCTATAAGGGTGATGCTCAGTACTCAATAGAGGTTTCATTTACGGGGAGAATAACCAAACACTGGTGGAGGCTTGTGATGTTACCTATCCAAAGTTTCTTAAGAACATCAAGCACCTAATTAAAATGGATCAGGTATTATTGATACTGTCTTTGGGCAAGGGATTGTACTAGTCACCTTTTGTGGACCCCTCAAAATCTTTCTTCTGACTATGTTAATGAACACAGTCAACACTTAAGACCTTAGTTTTACATTTTTCAGATAGCAGTTAACTTTTTCTTTTAAAAATCATTAAAGCGTTGTCAGTTAAGGAATTTGATGCCAGTAGTTAGAATGCATATACTTAGGGGAAGATTCTTCTCATTTTTTTTGACATTCTCAGTTGCCTGTGATTTCTTTATTCTCTTTTATTGTAAGACACAGAGCACTCAGGATAAAGAGAAAGCTGAGCGGAAGAGAAAGGCAGAAGCAGCTAGGTTGCACCGTCAGAAGATAATGGCCCAGATGTCTGCGTTGCAGAGGAATTTCATTGAAACCCATAAGCTCCTGTATGAAAACACACTGGAGGCACAGGGGAAAGAGGATGCTATTATGGAGGAAGAAAGGTAAGAAAAAAGATGTCCAGAGTTCTGGTGGAAAGAGTTCCATTACCTGGTTCATTATGCTACGTAAAAATTTTGAAAGTACGTTCAAGGGACAGGTTGTGTTATCCCAGTCAGGAAACTTGTGTTTCTGTTTACTTTTAAGTCATCTTCTGTTACAGAATTATATGTAAACTAGCATGTGTATGCTAATGTAAGAACAGTGGACTCGCTTTGTAGAGCAGCATAAGATAATAAGGAAATTTAATTATTTCTTCAAATGTTTGATACTTATATTGATTAACATTTGAAAAAATGTCATTTGAAAGGTGCTGAGTTGACAACACTAATTTTGGAGGTGACTGTCTACCTTATGAAAACTTAAGTATTTAACTTGGAAAGAATCTGAAAGTCAATATGCATTAAGGTTAAGTTGCAAAGAGGAAAATATACTACTTGTAGCTCAAGTCGCTGATATTTCTGTTCATTAGTTTTTAAAATCTAATTTCATACTGAAGATGTTTGGTTTATATTGGTTATAATTTTGTTGATATGGATTGCTCCTGTTCTAGAGGTGCTTCAAAAACATAGTATGCCTAATAAAACTCCTAACTTTGGTCTAATTGGGGCTGCACAAAACTAATCAGGGAAAACAGAGATACCTGCTGGGAAAAAAGTATAGATGACTGCTGTGTGCTTTGATCTTTAATAAATCGTGTTCTATAAATCCTTGTTGAACTCTAGAATAAGGAATATTTTTAAAAAAATGGAGGCTTATTGTGTCACAAAGTGTTGAATTAAGGTAGTAGCATTAATTTTCAGTACATTTTCATCAAGAACGGGAAACAATGTGTCTGTAAGAATAAAACACATTTAATCCAATTTACATTGAATACAGCATCCTGAATTTCCCACTGACTGAATCCATTTCATCATGTTATTCTATATTAGCTGGCTTCCACTTTCTGTTTTTAAAGAATACTGCATTTTAGTAAGGATTGAGGTGTTTCTTCATTGTTTGGTCATCATTTGATTTTGTAAATTGCTTTGGTATAAAACTAGAAATGTTAGCAGTGTATGACATTCTTAGATGCCTGGAAGAATAAGTTTGTTTAGAAAAAGCCATCTGATTATTTTATATCTTGTCACTTATGGTCTTACAGTGTGTCTTCGGCAATTGATTACTCCAAAATTGCTTTGGGTCCCAAACGAGGTCCATCTGTTGCTGAGAAAGAAGTTCTGACCTGTATTCTTTGTCAGGAGGAGCAGGAAGTAAAGTTGGAAAGTGCTGCCATGGTATTATCTGCTTGCGTCCAGAAATCAACTGCCTTAACTCAGAATAGGAGCAGAATTCCTGAACTCTCAGGGGGTATGTGTTGTTTTTCTTCTTTTAGACTACAAGCATTTCTGTACCTAGAGGTCATACCCTTTGAACCTAATTAAACTCTGTATTAATCAGATCGCTAAATGGTTTACCCTACTTAATAAAAAGACAGTGAAAAATTTTAAATTGTTCTAAAATCCATGCTTTAAAACTTAAAAATGAGAAGTGTATGAAGATTTTGATTTGTCCCTGGGAAATCAGAAAATGCTTTAATTTCACAAGAAGGTTTTATAAAACTTAAACATTTGGTAGGAGTGGTCACTGTGGAAAACATGCAAGAATGTTAATAGTTCCTGTTTGTTCAAGTACAGCAGCAAATTTTCCCAATATGGAGGAAGTACATGAATACTATCAGAGGCCAATATGGCAGCCTCAGGAGGGTTTGGGTTTTTTAGGTTGGTTTTTTTCATGTCCATGAAGTAATAAAAACAGCAACATAAAAAAAATGGAAAAGTGTGAGCAAGGATCATGCGATATCTGATGAATGAAAAAAATTAATACAAGAGAATAATAGAAACACAAGAGTTAGAGTTGCATAATAGCACATCGGTAGGAGGAAACACAAAGGCTAACCAGAATTTTTTTGTAAGTAACAGTTGATTAAACATGAGAAAGATTTTGGTCAGTTACTTAAGGAAATGAAAGAAAAGGGAAAGCTTAAGTACTCACTGACTTTTTTGCTCTCTTTTTGAAAAAGAAAATTAATAATAATTCAAGATCAGATGCTTCATGGCTGTTAATTTTAACAAGACAGAAATACAGTCTGGAATAGGATAAGAAAAGGTGAAACAATATCTAGATAACTTCAGTGTTTTTCACCAATTCTTAAATATTGAAAGTACTATCAGAACCGTTGTCTTCAGCATAATCTTTAATTATTTTTTAAAATGCATAGAAGACAGTTGAGATCTCAGAAGGCTGAGAAGGGCAAACAAGTATTCGTCTAAAAAAACCCACCAAAACCCAGAAGTGAAATGAGAAAGTACTAAAAATTTGAGTATTCCAGCCAGCCTGGATGCCCAGAAGTATGTTGGCTGATAGTTATTATTATTAGTTTACAAGACAATATAAAAAATACAGACAGACAATAAAGCAATAAGAAATGTCAAAAATGGATTTGTCAAGAAAGGAGCTTAGTGAGCCACCCTAATTCTTTGACCAGGATAACTGGTTTTGTGGCTGAGGAGAAGGTAAACTAATTATTCCCATGTTTGTTAGAATTTTTGGCTCTGTCCTACTTGATATACAGCCTAGGTAAATGTTGTTCAGGTGGAATCACCCCAAGGTGGATACACATCTCATCATAAAACTACTAGTTTGATTCAAGGACACTATAATATTAAATAATAATTAAAAGTTAAAAGTGAGAATTTTTCTGTGTAGATTGAATTATATGTATTTTAACACAGAAAAAAATTTAAATAGCTGTTATCTATTAAATATTTATTAATCAACATACATTATCTATGTATCTGCCCATATCTTATTATAAAGCTCAGTCGGTCATTTTTTCGAATCCTGCTTATTCAAGCTAACTAATGTGTAAGGAATAAGGATGCGGTGTTGAACAATAATAAAAGAGGAAGTCTGTAAGCACTCTCAAGATGCTTTCTAGTTGTTGCCTTTGCATGGCAAGGATGTTAAAACTTGTAGTTTAAATTCCTACTTATTTTCAATTTTTTTTTTTTGTATTTATAACAGGGTATTGTTGATTTGTGGTCAGCTCATAAAGCAACATGAACCCTATGTCCTATTTTTTTAATGACACTACTGTCTAGGAAATAGCTTTAAATTCTGTGTTTGTGCAGTTCATTATTCCTGCTTTAGTTTAGAAGTACACTCTTGAATGTTATAGAATTCTAAAGCAAAGTTCAGCATTGTTTCATATTTCTCCAGGGTATTACCCTATTCTCTATTACGCTTGCAAACCCTTACCAAGCTGTTTTGCTTAATAAGATGTTTTGTGTTTCCTTCTCTGGGTCATTAACAAATAGTGAATAGTCCTAGACCCAGGACAAATTCCTACAGAATTCTGTCTGATCCATTTTTCTTCTTAGCAGTGAACTGCTGATAATGGTGATTTTGAGCCAGCTGTATAGAATTTTTATCTAGGCCATGTACTAATTGCATCTTTTTTTTTTTTTTTTTTTTTTTGCTCTCTTCAGTGGCACTCTGAAGTACAAATTAAGTCTTATGCTCTTGTAGTCAGATATACTTGTAAACTTTCTGTAGTGACATGTTGGGCTATTGAAATAATCAAAAAAAGAAGGGAATGAAATTCCTTTTCCTAAAGCCACTTCTGGACATTATTTATAGCACTTACTCTCTACTGCATGGTCCTCTGCAGCTCATCAGTTAGAAGTAGGCCTGTAAGAGCTGCTTTTTCTTTGAAGATCTAAAGTGGAAAAATGCTTGTTCCCATAGCAGAAGTGCAGATAGTGGCAAATTAGTGTTATACCAAGGTTCACTTATTATTTCAGTCTCCATTTGATTTAGAGCAGCTTCAGCTGCTGTCAAATAAAACTACATTTTCAGTGCAATTTGGGTGCTAGGTTTTTTGTGGTGTGTTCTTCTTTTCTTTTTCATTTTGTCAAATTCAGGTGTATCTGTTCAAAATCATAAGTGGTCCACCAGATGAGGTTTGGAGGACTGCTCTTGTTCAGTTCAGTATTATTTGGATATCTTTAAGGGGAAAATGGAAACTGCATATGCAGCACAAAGACATCATACATTCTCATAACTTTTCACTGTTAAGAATTACGCAAGATTAGTGAAAGATAGACTTGACTTTGTTATTAAGCAGTGCTGTTTGTGTCAGTGGTTTGAAAATACACGAGATTAGTTGGAGAAATGCCTAATCTTTCTTGTCCTTAGTAGTTTCACTTTCTTTCATTTAAAAATGCAATTACAAATACATTAAAAACGTCAGTGATACCGAATCCAACTACAGAGTTATCTCAGTACTGAAGAACCCTTTTCTTTTTTTTTTTTTTTTTTCATTTTAACCAATTTACTGTTGCTTTGGATTCTGTCATCTTTTTCTTCATAATTAGTGGAAAGCCTTCAGTAGTTTAGGCGGGCTCTGTCTTGTGATTACTTTGCTGGAGTACTGGTCTGGAAGAGCTAGCCAAATGGGATTTTAATGTGACTATGCAAACTGTGGGAAAATAAAATCTGAAGGCTTGTGTTCTGTATATATTGTTGTTCATTTCTGTTCATACTGATGGGAAGTTATGTTATTGTTCTTTCAATAATTTCTTTCTACTGTGCCTTTCTAGATACACTAGATCCTCTCTTCATGCACCCTGACTTACCTTGTGGGACCCACACAGGAAGCTGTGGTCATGTGATGCATGCAGCCTGCTGGCAGAAGTAAGGATGTGTCTTTGCAGCCTTTTAATGTTTTCTTTTTTAATCTATTTTCCAAAACGTCTAAGTGCACACTGAAAAGACAGTACAGTAAGTGGTTATTTAATTAAGGAGTCAAAACTGTTTGTACTCATCTAAAAATGAAATATGGCACAAGAGGAGTTTTGACCTGATGAAGAAAATCATCATCAAAAGTGTTTAGTGCCTTCTGTGACCCAAAGAAGATTCTCTAAGTAGTTACTAATTTATGCAAATAAAACCAATGGGGTAAAATTGGTCAAGAATAAGAAACCGTATCTAATAGGTTTATTTTTAGCAGTCCAATGAGAACTGGTACAAATCTTCCAGGTGAGCGTTCTGTAGCAACAGTACTTTGAAAGTCTGTCACCAGGTCAGTACTTAAAGGATGCAGCTGACTTACTCCAGTGAGTCTTTAGATGAGAATCTGGCATTTAGAATAGAATATGAATGGTTAAATCTACCAATATTTCTTCCCCACCCCTCCCCTACTGGTGAACAAACTCTTAATAAAGTAAGAGGGAAGAATTGATACAGTGCTTAAAAACTTTACTAGATTTCTATTTTTGGGGGGAGCCCACAATTTAGACCAAGTGTGTTGGATTAGAATGCAACCCGAAATATTAAGACCAAATTACTTAGCTTGCAGAATGTAGTCATCCTGGTTGCAGCTACATTTGTAGGATTACAGAGAGCAAAGCTAATGCTCTCTGGATTTGACTCCACATAAGTATGGCAAGTCTAAACAAGATAAATAGTGAAAAATAAGAATAGAAGTAATCCTACTGAAGTACTATCAACAGATAGAGGTAGCTGGGTCATGCAATTGCAAGCTACTTTATATTGTTGTACGGTATAAACAATCTCTTGAGGTTTGTTTGTACTCGTCATTTTACTTTAAAAAAATCTGACTAAACTTCTAGTGCTTATAATTTACATTTCTGTATGTGTGTATATATATATTTCTATAGTAAAACATTAGTACAGAATAAATAGGTGCACACACTTAAAATTATACGGAATTATGTTCCTTGAGTATAATACATCTGCTCTTGGCAGATTCATCTACATCTACGTAGATCTAAGTAGTGCAACACTGGAGCTCAGTTCCTTTGCTCTTTTTAAGAAAAGATGACTTGCTGTATGGGTAAATGGGATTAAAATGGACAACAGGCTCTTCTCATGCGGGATGGCACAGAAGGTTTGAGTATAGTCTTTTATTTATTACATAACAGACATTCTAACTTACTAATATCCTTCCAAACAATGCCTGCCACACCTTTCTAGAGTATCTGTGCAGCCTAAAAATACTGCAAAATACTCTAAAACATACGAGTTCAAATGAATGGAATATCTTTGTAGTTGCTATGTATGAGGAAGAGGAGTTGCTTGCAAAAACATAGTTGTTTGAATGTGGGAAAATAAATGTATGTTTTGTAACAAAATACTTTCCTAAATATTCTGTAATCATGGGAACTTCTGCAGATGCCCCCACATGCACACTTTCTCGTTACATAAATGAGATTTTATTTTTTCCCTTAAGATGTATGATTTAAAGCAAAAAAAAAAAAAATCTAGTTATTACCTTAGTGCAGAAGTTAGATAATTTCATATCTGTCTTTAAGATCCTACATACCCAGTCTGAACATTAGTACTGAATTTAGTTGCTTGTATCCAGGCAAGAAGATTTGAAAGTTGGCACTTTTTGTTCCTAATCATACCACTGAGATGATAATGAAATTCGAAGGCTTACTGCATTCACTGAGGGGGCAAAATTGTAATGAAACCTGTAAAAAGATCATAGTTATTTCTTAGTTTCCTTTTGAGTTTGAAATAGCTCAAGTGCTGTTTATCCTCGAGTGTAAATTATCCTCTCTTCCTGTTAAAAGAAAGCTACAGTTTCATTGTCTAGTCATGAGGCTCAGTCATTGCCATGAATAGCTGATTATTCATTCATGAAATGTTACCAGTAGTTTTTCCTAAAATTAAATAAAAATATGTACAATTACTGTTTCAAACTTAACTGTAATGAGTTGCATAGAAGATATTAGATACAATGTTTCATTGTGTTGAAGATGATGAGAGAGAAGAGCAGAAAATTTAAGTACTGCTTGTCGGTAAAAATGTTAATGAAATTTAAAAGGATCTTAAAAGCAAGGAAAAGTTGCTGTCATTTTTGCATGAGTGATATACCATGCATTTTTGCATGAGTTTGTGTATGGGCTCAAAGGTTTTATTTTATTGTCACATCCAAGCACATAAAGAGTTATAAATCAAAGGAAGAGACTTGTTTAATGGCTTGGACGGGTATTTGCTAGATAATAACACTCTTAATTACTTGAACATTTGTTTTCATGTCACATTTGAGCCATTCCACTTTCTAGTAATTTCCTTTTCAATGTTGTAGGTACTTTGAAGCCATGCAGCTGAACTTTCGACAACGTCTGCATGTTGAACAGATATTTGACTTGGAGAACGGAGAGTATCTTTGTCCGCTTTGCAAATCTCTGTGCAATACTGTGATTCCTATCGTTCCGTTGCAGGCTCAAAAAATAAACAGGTGAATTATCAGATTACATAGCCTTTAATTAAAAAAAAAAAAAAAGAAAAATTACCTTGGGGCTGTCCTGGTTTCGGCTGGGATAGAGTTTTGGATTTAGTAGGAGAAGAATGTTGATAACACGCTGATGGTTTTAGTTGTTGCTGAGTACTGCTTATGCTAGTCAAGGACTTTTCAGCTTCCCATGCTCTGCCAGGGGCACAAGAAACTGGGAGGGGGCACAGCCAGAATAGTTGATCCAAACTGACCAAAGGGCTATTCCATACCATATGACATCATGCTCAGTATAGAAACTGGGGGGGGTTGGCCGGGGAGCCGCGATCACTGCTCGGGAACTGTCTGGGTATCGGTTGGTGGGTGGTGAGCAATTGCATTGTGCATCACTTGCTTCGTATATTGTTATTGTCATTATCATTATTATACTGTTACTATTAGCATTACTGTTTTACTTTATTTCAATTATTAAGCTGTTCTTATCTCAACCCAGGAGTGTTTCTCACTCTTACTCCTCCGATTCTCTCCCCCATCCCATTGGGGTAGGGGGAGTGAGCGAGCGGCTGCGTGGTGCTTAGTTGCTGGCTGGGGCTAAACCACGAAAGGGCTGGTTGGCTTTTCAAATTTTTGGAAGAAAAACTTGGGCTGACTGTTCTAATCTGTATAAAAGACTGCATATCTCCTTTTTGACTATTCAGCCAAATATACTGCTTTTGGCAGTCAATTTTTTTTTTCTTTTTTTAAAAAAAAAAGCATTTTTTGATTGGCTATTTTTTGGAGCTGATATCAAGTGAGAAAGTACCTAGATCTAGGGTTTAGCCTAACAGTTTGTTTTGTACTGTTTGCTCAAAATTTACAAAGCCAGCAAAACTGTGCAAATTCTGAGTTAATGTGTTTTGATCTAAATGTGTCCTCTGTTTTTAAAGATAAGGTGATTCTTTGAGTGTTAATGTACAACCTGCTTTCTATTTCTCTTTTCAGTGAGGATGCAGAGGCAGTAGCTCAAATTCTGTCCCTGGCTAGGTGGCTGGAGACTATCATAGTCAGGATATCGGGCTACAGTGTGAAAAATGCTAAAGGTTTGTTAATTTTGAAGCTGTTCAGTGGGATATCTAATATGCCAATACATGTTTTAACTAATACCAACAGAAAACTTCAAATAAAGAATACATTTTGCTATCAGTCAAGACAGTATCAAATAAAGCTGGGGATAAAGCCATGACCCTTTCTGAGCTGATGTCTTGATTTCACAGTGCCCTTGCCAATTTTCTGGTTTCTGTTAAAATCTTTCCATCTTCCCTGTAGAAGAAAATTACGTACGCTTGGAGAGGATAGCCACCAACTAAAACTCAGAGTTAATTAAACTTTTGTATTGACTATGATGTAGTAAAGAAGAGAAAAATAAATTAAAAGGGCCAAAATAAAAGCATAAAAATAAATTGTTTAGAAAACAGAAGGTATAGAGAATCAACATATTCCTTGCACTCTTATAATGCAGGAAAGTTCTTTTTCCTCGTCAGCAAAGCAGTACTTTTAATCCTTATGTTTCTGGGAATAGAAGAAAATGTTACTTAAAGAGGAGGGTTAGAAGACAGTCTGCCTGGTGAGGTCTGTTTAGAATTATTTTCAAACCAGTTTAAAATAAAAAGAAATCTCACTTCTGTTAGAATGCTGTAAAAACTGTAACAACAACTTTGTTTTTTAATGTGGATCTAATTTTTTTTTTTTTCTGGAAGGAGAGAAACAAAATCTTCCAGCTTTCACCAACAAGGGAATGGGGAACTCTGCTTTGGAATTCCATTCCATCCTTAGTTTTGGAGTTCAGTCCTCGTAAGTGTTACTGGAAGTGCTCTCTGTATTATGTTAATTCTCCCTAAAATAACCTAGGTATTCAGGATTCGTATTGAAGGAAAGGTATAGGATTTGTTTGGTTGGAATATGGGCTTGCTTATGCTTTTCCTTAAGCATTCACTGAATATCAGAGCTACCAGAGATAGATGGACCTCTTGGTCAAATCCAGTCTGGTAGTTCTTATGTTCTTGGTACAAAGCTAGGATTCTGGAGTCTTATTTAATGTCTGTCTGCCTTAATTTTCCTGCTGTATGTCTGTTTCAGGCATAGATTTCACTTGGGTTTGGATGAAATAATGAGATACAGATTACTCAAAGGAATAGGGCTGTGTTGTCCGTTTCTATTCCAGTGGGCAAAAGTGCGCTCACACTAAAACAGAATCAATGGATAGATACTTTTTAAGTGTACTCAGCTGTCTGTCTGCTTTTTAGATTACACTATAAGCACTCTACTTCTGCTGCTTCTGACTGTCATCATAGTTATAGGAAGTACTTATACATATTTGCTATTTGTAAAAATTTGTCAAAGTTAAATCAAATTCTTTCTTGATAAATGATCTCCATGGGGAAGATTCTGTAGTTTGCACTTAAACAATGTGGTGTTTAAGTATGAGCCTGGCTAAACCCCAAACTTCGTGGTACAATTGTTTTGGCTGTAGAGATTTGGAGAATTACTATCAATGTCATGTATTTCTGTTCCGAAGTGCTGTGTATGACTTTGAAAAAACACAAGTCGTTAAAACCGTATGTGTGTTTGCCTCAGCACTTTTCTGCATATAATAGCATTTGCATAAACTAACCCAATGTTAGTTGAAAGGAGCTTAAATGCTAAAAATGTGTTTTAAAACAGATTTGAAATGTCTGTCTTTCCATTTTTAGTGCCTTATGAGATGGGATATATTTTCTGCTCCAACACTTATAATTACACTTGCTTACTCATACTTGTTTTTTTCATGGTATTTTACTTTGATTTACATGTTTGCATTTTTTGAATGTGAATTATAATACAGTATACAGAAATAGACTCCTTCCAGCCTGGCAGCGCTTAATCTCTCAATTTGTAGACCCTGTTATGTCAAGGTACGTGTTTACTACTGGAAACTAGTAACTTTTTTTCTTCTCTGTACAGACAGAGGGCCTTTGTATTCAAGGATTCTTTCATAAATAACTTAGACTTTGTTAGTGATTGATTGACCGGTAAGTAATAAGCACTACTAATAATTCAGACTGAAATTATCTTGTCTTGCTTTTGCAGAGCCAAATACTCAAGCAGTATCAAGGAGATGCTTATTCTCTTTGCCACTACCATTTATAGAGTTGGGCTAAAAGTTGCTCCAAATGAAGCTGATTACCGGATTCCTATGATGACCTGGAGCACTTGTGCTTTTACCATCCAGTGTATAGGTAAAGCATAATTTGGGTTTACTCCTTCTCAAGACTTGAAAATCTGACAGTTGTTTGATTGTATAATATTATACAATCTGACTGTAAAAATAATAATAGTTCTACATAAATAAGAACAATGTGTAATAGTATAACTATATAATTACATATATAATAATAGAATGATAATCTATAATCCAATGTAAATAATAAGATGTTTTTGTTAGATGGTAGTTTATGAAATATGGTGTGGGTTGTCAACACTGATGAGTTTAATCTGAGAAAGAAGGGAATGATCATGTTCCACGCTACTAATTGGAACGTTAAGCACGTTCAATGAATATCTTCAGGCTGCCAAAAATCGTTCACCTGCAGTCATCTCCTACACAGCTAAATATCTAACAGCTATGAAATGGTACTCCCTCTCTTATTATTTCTTTTTGTCTCTATTCTCAAAAGAATTGTCATGGAATTTGTAGAAGAAATATGGTCTGTTGTATTCTGAAATTGCTAAGCAGATACCTGGTAGGGAAAAAAAAAAATCTCAAACATTCTCTGGCATGAATCTCTTTTTGAAGGCAAAATAATTGCCATTAAGTTGATTGAATTTTGGGACATAATGTACCTGGCTAGCAGTCAGTCTCATTTAATTTTTGTACTATATACACAAACTTCTTTGTGTAACAAACATGAAGCTGTAGATAAATCTGTAGTGGCTTCCAGGCAGGGAGAGAGGCAAGAGATAAGTCTGAAATGCATGCTGAAGGAATTGAGAATGTAATTGTACATCTCTATAAATATGATTTGCCAAGTATGCCATTTTTTCTCACTGAAGCTGTTCAGGTACAAGTGTAGTCTACCTTAAATCTATATTGGACTTGATCCAACTGGAGTATCAAGAATTCAAAAGGTTTAGGAAGATTGGGAATATTCTGATAGCACAGGAATAGTCATGAAAACTGATTGCATCTTTATAGTGTTGGATTTTATCAGAGTTTTCAAATGGGTCAGGAGAGGACTGGAATCCACCCAGCTCTATTAACGTTAATGCACTTAAAGCTTAATGCACTTAATGCACTTAAATGCTTTAAAGTTGAGCTTTAAAAAGAAGTATATATACTAAGAATAAATTAATCTTGGACTAAGTGTATTCTAACAGAAATGTTATGTTAGTTCCTGTAGAACAAAGCAAATATTTTTTTCTGTCTTTAATTTTAAGAAAACCTCTTGGAAACGGAGGGCAAGCCTTTATTTGGATCTCTACAAAATAGACAGGTATGGGGACAAGTAAGATATGCGATATATTTTAAACAAAAAAGTTTATATATATTATAAAGTTTATATATAAAAATGTG